CTGAGATGCGATGACTGCGCCCACTCAGGGAAACAGGCCGAGGACGTGATGTGCACGGTTTTTAAAGCTCCCACCGCGACTAAACCACTGCTACAAAACCTAAACGGTCTTAGCTACACTCAAGATGATATATGAGACTACCCAATCGAGCTATAACAATACACCATCTCTTAACCCAATCTCTCAAAATAATTTGCTAAACATAGCAATGTCTAGCTACTAATAAACTTGGAAATCTTTCTAAGTTTTTGAACTGAACTTGATTTCAATTTGTAATTTCTAGGCTAGTAGAAATATTAGTTAGTAATATCATTTTTCAATAGCAAGTATTTCACTGTCATCTACAAAGTTCATATTTCAAACTTTATTTAAGTGTCACATGTGTGTTCTATAGTGTTTTTGTTCAATAAAAATTGGTTTACAACCCTACTTGTTAATTGTATGAGTTATGGAGTAAATTTTTGTTTAACACTTTTATTGATCATTTTAATTACAATGCTTCATCTATGCATTCCATCACATGCAGTAACACATAAATATGATGCTCATGATGTGTCTTAGTAAATTATTTAGGGTGTAACACCGAGGGTGTTACAAAAAACCACCTGAGGATTTGGATAAGGTAGATTTTATGATTTTACCATAGATTTACACCTCTGTCATCCTCTTTACGTTTTGTAATGCATAAATATACTTTTTGAGATTAGATAGGGATTAGAAACTGCCACGAGAAAAAACCCCACAAGAAGATGACATGTGGGGCCAGCCGGCCCCACCTACAGGCCGGCCGGCCCACCTATCAGTCCCCTCGCGCCCGATCAATTCTCTCGCGTCTTCTAGATCCTTCCTCTCCACGATCCCGCAGTTTTTCGACACATTCAGTTTTTCCTCGTTACGAGACCTCTAATAGATAGATCTTGACCCCTGCTGCAAGTTGTCCCCCCTATATAAATGAGCCCCTGCCAGCTTCCATAGCCATCCCATCAAAGCATTCTTTCTCCAATAGAAGCAAAGCTCTCCTCCTCCCTAGTTCCAATGGTTGGAAAAGAGATCGTCCCCTTCGGTTTTGATCTAAACAAGAAGACCGACGCTATGGCATTGAGCATCGTCCAGCCGTGAGAGATAGCTCTTGTTCGTCCCAATCAATCCTACTATGCCCAAGCTGTCTGTCGTCTGGTGATCGCTCTGCCACCGCGGTGTCCGCTTCTTGAAGACAAGCCACGTCCGTAGAAACCTCAGTTAGATGCCCAAAAGTTGATCAAGGTGACAAAGGAGATCAACCTCCTACCTCCGAAGGGACACGAGGTATTGACCGCAGTGAAGACCAATAATTTGGAGATGTTACATGCATAAAGTATGCATCGGTCACCCCTTGTACAATCATCAATGGAGTCCGAGCTCTGCCAGAGCAGATCAAGGTTGTTCCTCCAAGGAGAAGAAAAGGAAGGCTCCACTAGCTGTTCCAGAAAATGATGAGAAGCGTCCACGGATGACTATTGCGCTCTTGTAGAAAAAGATTGAAGATCTCTCCGATGTTGTATATACCTTAGAACAGAGGATTGACGAAGAACACGTTTATCGCAAGAGCCTGCAACAAGATTTAAATGCTTTGAATCATTTTATTGCCAAGACTAGGAAGTAAAAGAGAGATAGGTTTTTGATAAGGCATGAGTGGTTAGGTCAAGTGTTTAAAGATAGTATGTTTAGGTTACTCGCTTAGCTCAGATTGTTAGAGTGGTTGAAGTTTGTGTTTAGGTTGGTTTGTGTAATAAAGTGCCTTATGATATTAATGGAGTCTTATTATTATTATCTGCTCTCTATGTCTTTTGGATATGTGTTTTGTCTCCACATGTTGTACATAAAGGTATAGATGAAAACAAGTGTGGAGGAGACACACCGCGACTACAAGACGAAATTTAATCGTGAAAATTACGAAGTTCGAGAAGTAATGGACCAAGGACCATGTGTAACGAAGCGGGCCTTGAGCAGCTCCTAGAGTAGGCCGCCCGACCTCCTCTTTAGGCCGGCCGTCCCATCATGGTGCCACCTCGCCCCGAGCTTTGTCCTCGGTCAGGTTAGAGCCCAATATGTTCTATTTTCACGTGTTATACTTTCTATTTCGAACTGAATTGAAAATTTCTTGATAAAACAACTTTAAAACCTAAGGAAAGATTATTTCAGTCATGACTTAAGGATAGACTCGTATAATACTTTTCCTGGAAGTCTTGCTATTGTTGGGAACTTATTTTTAGGGACCCCATGTTACTTAAGTTGTTGTGGAATGAGATATAGTAGAATGCTGAGAATTTGATTCTTGATGTCTCGTTAATTGGAGAATTTTATTCCAAAAATTAAAAAGAATAGCTACACCTCTCCTTTGTGGTAAGCAATATAGACTAGAGAAACCTTCTATATATACTACTTGTCATTGTATTGAGTTTGGTCAAACCTTGTGACACTTGTTGAGAAACTTATCATGCTCCTAAGATCAAGATCACATACACTCCACATATATCCACTGCTCCTACACTGGGAGTACGCAAAAATATATTTTCCATCCACCCAAAAATATTTTACTCCTACACTGGGAATAGACACAAAAATAAGTTTGTTAGGATAAATGCTCTAAGTTCTTGTAAATATCTCTCTTGAAAAGTTTCAATTACAGAAAAAGAGGCATAGGCTATGAAAAAGTTATTCATAAAAAAAAAAGAAGATAAGAAAAAGTGTCTGAGATATCTAAAACAATGTGTACTTAGATGCCCGCCTAAAAAAGAGAGAGATGAATAAGATAGCCCATGTTTTCTTGCAAAGTATTTTCTAGTTTCAATCAAGAGAGAAATGTTTCAAGGAGCATAGTAGAATTAGGTTAGCCACCATATACATATCCACACACATACACATCTTGATCTAAGAGTATGACATTTTTCTCCTCGGGTCCTTGTTTTGATTTTAGAATATATGCAATGCAAGTATGCTTTTAGAAGTAAGTAAAAAGAAAGCAAGAACATTAATGCCTTGGTGAGGCTCCAAAAATACCACATATATTGAGTGAATTGAGAGAACCACAAAAGGAGAAGGTAAGCTATGTTTTGTTTTCAAAAATCTTAAATGTTTCTCCAATTAACTAGACTGAAGGAAGATGGTGATTTGTTTCAAGCTATTTCATTCTTCAACCGCCCAAAGCATGCATGACTGGGAATGGTTTTATGTTGATGACTTATCCTAAAGTTATGTCTTCAGTAATCCATCCTTTTATCGAGGATGAGTAAAAGCCTAAGTGTGGGGGAGTTTGTTGATGGTAGTTAACATTCATCATAAACCGTTAATATACCTTGCATAAATGACTAAAATGGATCACCAACATAGACTTACAGTATTTAACTAACAGTTTCCAGGAGTTTTGGTGAATCTGTGTTTTTAGCAGTATTTAATCAAAAAAAACACTAAGGAGGACTTATTCGTCAAAAGAAAGGAATTCTGCCGCGTAAACAGCGTGGGAAGACTCTAGAAGACGAATCACCAAAGCGGAGCCTGAGCCACTGACAAGTGGGGCCGACCGGCCCCACCTGCAGGCCGTCCAGCCTATGGGGCCCCCATGCCGGCCCCTTGTTGCTATGTCGGTTCTCCACCACCTTAAGGATTGCATCTCTGCCGTTTATTCAAGTTGGTTTGATCCGAGGGCTCAGGATTGACGCTTTGGCCTATATATACCTACATGCACCCCCCTCTAGGGCATGAATTGGCATTTGATCCTGAGAGCCTGAGGGCTAGAAACCCTAATCCATGTCTCCACTAGGATCAGAGCTAGCAATCAAGAAAAGATTAGTCCTCAATAGGATCTAGTCTTGTATTAGAGATAGAGAGATAGAGTGAGAGGGAAGAGTTTTGGAGGAGTCCCAGCCTATCGGTGCTCTCTCTATGGCTTGTACCCTAGCGGAATTAAGTTCTTCTTGAGCATGCTTCTGAGATTTGTCTAGTAATCGACTTCTAATTCAAGTAAGCATTTTGTTCATATTGTTCTTTAGGTTTGTGACTCTCTTTTGAGTACTTTAATCCTTGTAGCTCCTGGGTTAAAGTAGTTTTCGTAGTGTAAGCGTGGTGCTTAGACTCGATTACTCATGGATGTACCCTACTTTTCGGATCAATGGTAGCTCACGAAGGAGACTCTTATAGCCTCGTTGAATCCTTTGTAGTCCACCTCCCGTTAGTAGACCTAGTAGGACCTTGTTACTATAGGAAACATACTATGTTTGTGTTTTCTCTAGTAATATCCCTAGAATTGAACAATAGAAGACAAAGCTTACCGAAGTTAGAACTATAAGACCTTAGCAGTCTCGTCTATGCTCCTATTATCTAACCTTAATTGTGAAATTGGGTTAAGATAGATTTGGTTATTCTCACACACGTTTCCTCAAGTTTGATATAAAACTGGGTACTCCCGGTGAAGTGCTACATCGATATAATATCTGTGCGCTTGCGGATTATTTTGTGTGCATTAATTTATACCAATAGTGTGCCTGCCACTTCACCCACTCCTCTTTCTTCTGACAGCACCGGTGCGATTAGTATTGCTCGGGATCTAGTGAAGCATGAGCTCACCAAACACATTGGTGTTGATGCTTCCTACATGAGATCGCAGGTGCATGATCAGGTAGTGATGCTCCACCACGTGCCTTCCGAGGTTCAGCTAGCGGATTTCTTCACCAAGGCACAGACACAGGCCTAACATAGATTCTTGCTCTCCAAACTCAGTGTTGTAGATCCACCCTGAGTTTGAGGGGGGTTAGATGTATAGATGTGTGTGTAGTATTTTCCCTCTACTTGGAGGGTTCCTTTACTCACTCACTAGTATATCTACCTTTGGGGCCTGGTAATATACTTTGGTTGGCATAATTCTAACAACCACAAGTAGAGGGCATGGACTCCGTGAAACTTTATTGTATAGTCTCTTTGGAGAGCTTCAAGTTTATGAAACCCGAAATGATATGCTCCAAGCCATGCCTTATTTGAATGGTGGAGCGATATCATTGGATGGTGGTGTAATCAAAGGAAAAGGGAAACTACTTCTTGGTTACAGGTCAGTATTTTTACTGCCATAATCAACTCTATGGTTGTCAGCTTGTTGCAGCATGCAGGTGTCTATGTGGCCTCCTCAACCTCCATATTTATGGTCTTTTTGGCTCTCCTTACTAGTTTCCATAGGCCAATCTGGTTGTACATCATGATGCATTCGATTTTGTTAGATGGCATTGAGATCACTAGAATACTAGCTAAGGAAGAATTGAGATCGCTAGAATACCAGCTAAGGAAGCATTTGGCTTTACTATTTTAACTTAAGAAGAAAATTCTGTTTAATCAGCATGCATATTGTTGGGCGTTTCTTGTCATTCCTAGCCCCCAAAAAGAGCATCGGTTTAATCAATTCATACATATTTGGCATTATTAGATATGCTAGCATTTGCATCACAAACCATTCTTTATTTTGATGGTGCATTTATTCCATAACTCTGCCATATTAAATTAATCTGGTCCTTTTTTCAGTGATCCGAAGATAACGTTTCTAGTTGTCTCCGTCATGCCCAATACCATGACCGAGTCAAACGTCCATTTGGTTGTCGTCACAAGAAGAAATCTGGATAATAAAATGAAGCGTTTGGAAACAATCAAAACCAAGATAAGAGAACAAGAAAAGTTCCACGAGGAACTGGTCAAGGAATTCAACAAGAGAAAACGCAAGTTCGATGAGATCGAACAGAGAATAACCCAGCCTCGTGGTAATGAGCTTGTGCTGCGCGCTGCGCTGAAGGCGAAGGACCTTGATCCATAAGCAGGAACATAGCTTCGTTGTCCTATACTCCTGTACGCTGCATGCAGACCAATGACATAGTTTAGGTCTCTTCATTGGTTGGTACTAGTATAAACCGCACGCCATTGCGTGCACGTAGGTGAGCAAAACGTAGTCGATACAGACGGTCAATATATGTTTGCTTTGTACTTCACAGAATAAGTTTTGAACATGAGAAGAATGTGCAGAGTAATAAGGTACATACATATATATATTGAGGATGTGTATATTACATATAATATGTTGTTCAAGTGAGCAAGGAGTCGAGGATGATGCATATGCGTATGTCACATGTGTTGATAGTCTGTATGCTATGTTAGGTAGAACTGCATAGTTGCTGATGGCTTCATGGTGCTCACTTAATACTTTGGTTCACTATCAGAGAGGTCATTGCTGAATGTGGCCGTGCTTTGATAGTTGGAGATTCTGTTCGTATATCATAGTATGTCAGATGTATGTAGATATAATGGAAAAGTGTTAGATTTTTCTAACATGAATGCTTTGCCTGCGTGCACTCGGTGTGGTGGCTGCATCCTGATGCCTGTGAAATAGAGAATAGGTGATAAGACAACGCTTTTGGTTCAGACGTGCAATAGCAAAGGTGTTAGTTAGATACTGTATGGGGGGCAGTAGATTTAGTGGGACCTCAAAAATGCGATGTACTGTAGACGTAACATACCTGGTGAATGTAAAGTGGAAGTGGCTCCATCATCTAGCAGGGCTCATCTGATTCTCCATCACCTACACGTTTGGTGCCAACAAAAAATGTGCAAGTGAGGTTTATTATGTAGTTATAGTGTAACACCCCAGGTGTTAGTCATGAGTTAAGCAGCAAATTTGGACTGCAGTAGGATATATCAAGCAATGATCATGATCTCTAGTTCATAATCTTGAAAGTGGTGATGGAAGTGCTGAGGTCAAATCTATGAAATTGAGCCCCAACTTGAACTTGGACAACCCACCTCGCTTACATGTTGACCCTTTTCAAATGTAGGCTTGAGTAGGGTTCAACATGCCTCTTTTATGAGAATCACTTTAGTATTAGGCCATCTTGACCATTGGAAAAGTTTCATGAAGTTTGGAGCCAAGAAGTCACATAAAATGATAAGTTATAACCTTTCTTGAATTGCTTCATCAGGTGAATGGGAACATGGGATGTCGACCAAACCTTGCTACCTTGCCCAAATGACTCTAATTGAACTCTACAACAAAAGTCATGAAGGGTTCATGTTGAGCAAATGTCAAGAAAATGCCTCAATCGGTCGAAAACCCTAATTCCAAGGTTTATCATGATACCATTTTGACCAAGGTTAAATAATAGTTTGGAAACAAGTTATGAAGTTTAACATTTAAGCAAAGTCGAAGTCTAAGTGGAGTGCTACAAACTTTGTTCTTGGACCAAGAGCCAAATCAAACCGTAAGCAAGTCAAATAGGTGCTCGAATATCGAATCTACAGCTGTTTTCAAACTTAGAAATATTCTAAGTCCAGGATTAGTAGCAATTTGGTTGGCATGTTGTGTTCTCACGATTTTGTTAAGCAACTTGACTTGATCCCAAAATAAAAGTTGGAGATAATTCATTGGAGAAGAGCTCAGAAAAATTTGGACTCAGTTTGACTAGTTAAATTAGGATCCAACCAGGCAAAGCTTAATCCCGTTTAAACTGCTAACAGTGTCAACTTTGGACATAATTATCTCCTAATACGTTGCCTAATGACTTGAGTGCCTTAATAAAAGTTAGAGAGCATCAGGAGTACAGCAAACTTCATTTAAGGTCCAATGCCCAAATCGGCCCGTAGTTGGCCCAAATTCGGCGCCCACAATACCCACACCGTCGCCCGCCACGTGCTCGATGAAATGCCCATGCGTCCTCCATGCGTGAGAGCACGCCCCACCATTGCTACCACGTGCTCCTGCACTGCTCTCTCTCCCTCTCGCATGTGGGATGGCAGCAAGCACTCCTAGGTGCTCTCTCTCACTCGCTCTCGCCCTTCCTTGCGCTCTCTCTCTCGCTCTCCGACCGTGGGTGCGCTACGTCCGCCATGGACGGCCGGTAGAGCTCGCTGCTATCACCTGCTCCTACCACAATGCCACTCCTCACTCCCCACGAGCACCATCATCAGCTTCACCTCCATCTCCTACATCCCGCGCTCACGCTCGCCATCCAAATTCGAGCAGGGAGCGCTACCGCCGCTGGGCCGCCCACCTCCTACCGCCATGGCACCACAGTCGGGCTTCTACGAGCCATCCTAGCTTACGCAGCGGACACCCCCGGGCGCGCTCTGGCCTAGGCCAGCTACGGTGTTGCAGCCCTCCGCCGGCGCCCACCATCAGCCGCCGGAACCGACCGGAGCCCAACCTCCCCTGCTCTATTTCTCGTTGAGAAGAAGAGAGGGAGTAAAATGGAAATAGAAACTCTTCTCTGGGTCCAGATGCAAAAGCACTAGAGAGTATATTTTCCAGATCTAGGCTTAGTTAATTAGAGGAAAGTCCAGGGTTCCCGATGCAAATGTGTTTTCCTTTTATCTTTTCCTTTATTGTATTTAATCAGCTAAAACTTTGGAAAATCATAGTAAATCATAGAAAATCATAAAATAGTAAATGAAGATGTTTTGGAATCCTTGTGAGTAGATCTACGCAGTAGAGTTATAATATGACATGTGTTAGTAGAAAGTTTCTACTGTTTTTATTTAACTTTGTAAATAGGGTTTCCTAGAAATAAATTCATATCTAAAGTTGTAGTGCTCTAATTGCTATGAAATGTTTATGGTAGGCTACTGATGTCATATGTGTGCTGTGATAAAAATTTCAGGTTTATTGGTGCATGTGTTACAGAGTTATTGATTTAACTTGTTTAGTGCTTCATAAATGGTTTTAAATAAGTTATAATTTTTATGAAGGTGTAAAAATGAAAAATGTTGTTCCTCTACCTTTGTGTGATGTGCTACCATAATAACATATAATATGGCTATGTGTTTGCAGAAAATAGTGCGTTTTAGATTTATCTTGCTCTCACATGCTTTATTACAATAACAACTTGTTTTTATTGTAGTAATTAATTTATAAAACCTGAGCATGTAATCTTTATACAATGGTCATGTTTTGATAACATCTTTCATTCATAAAAATTTGAGCTCCAAACTATATGTTTGCAACACCACCTAAAAATATTATATAGGTTTTAAAATATATAAAAGCTAATGAGAGCTTAGTAGCAAATAATCACATGAATATTCTTGTGATGCTTTTGTTGCATGAGGTTTGAACTAAAGGTGGTATGGTCGCGTTCATCATGGTTGGAGGTGTAAATAGTTTTTGTATGCTCTCTTGTGAATATAACCACTAGTGTTTACATTGCTCATGCATACTTGTTAATTTTTCCTTCTTCCTTGTTTAAATATATGATTAGGGTGCTCTCCATGCTAACCATAACAAATATTGAGTAACCATGTTAATAGTTTTTTATGATCCATGTGATTAGTTGTACATGTATGGTCTTGTTAAAGAATGAAGTGAAGCACCACTTTGCTTATGTGCTGAAAGTGGCTGCATGTACAGTTTCTGTGGTGGTGATATTTTCGTGATGTAAATGATGTTTTCTGAGAATGTGGTGAATACAAAAGTAGTATATAATTTCCTTATCTTGCTTGTCCTAAAATTTCATGATTTTAGGCCTGCTTTTTAGGAATTATAGATTTTAGAATTTTACTGTTAGGTTCTACATGTCCTCTTAATAGATCTGAATGATTGTATTGTTTGGTTTATTTAAACATGGAATCATGTATTGTGATAATAGAAGAGTTGTAGTGCTTTTGTTAAGCTTTCCTAAATGTCTAAGAGCACCACTTTTGCTGGCTTAGAACTCCGGTTATAGCTGTTCAAAGCGAAATGACAGGTTTTGTCCAAATCTAGACAGAGATGCCTTCTTGGTGTTGTTTAACCCTGTTAGTTGTAGAATCATCTTAAGATGATAATAGGAAAGTTATAAATAACTTAATAAGCTTTCCATAATGTTAATAATGATGTTTTTTGGATGATTACAACTCCAATTATGCATTTCTAAAGTTCATGTCAGTTTTATGTCCTAGTTTATGCAGATCTGCTTGTTAGTGTTTTTCAACCTTGTTAACCTTTGAATCAGATCTATATGTTACTAACAAAGTTGTAGACAATTTTCTAAGCTTTCCAGAAAGTCTAGGATCACCTTTGTTTGATGCCTATAACTCCAGTTATGGTTAAAACAAGTGACTTCTGTGCTGCTGTCCAAATTATGTGCATGTAATAAGTTGATTGCATTAGCTTACTCTTGTTTGGCTAAACATGTTTAGTTAATTCTTGATTGATAAGTGCTTGTAATGGCTAAACTTAAGTTAACCTGAGCGCCATGTTTGATATGCTTGCTTTCTATAATAGATTGTACGATGCTTAGTTAAATAACTCTAGGTGCCTATACTTATTTGGTGTGATCTTGTGCTTGTCTTGAATGCTTTGTGATGCATCAGGTTTTGCCCCCTTTTGGTTCATACATTTGCATCGTGCATCTCATTTAGGTACGCTAGATGAACCACGTGAAGGATGGAAGGACATGATGTTGGAGCCGAGCCCGAAGATTGGTGTTTGGTGGATGGATCCTGAAGATGGAAGGACTTCGAGAGTTCATGCCTGAACTGGATGCTCGCCAAGCGAGTGTCATCTAACAAGCACTGACCTAGTGTTGGATCCCAGGCAAGCCCCAGAGCATTCTAAGTCTCCTACCCTCTCTTTTTATTAATGCACATAAGTATAACTTTTGTATGCTGCATTAGGTGATAGGAGTTGAATGAAACCGTTGGTGCATAATTCCTACCTTGTCCACTATATATAAATACCTGAACCCTTACTAGTATGAGTAGGACGTTCTATGCTTAGCTAGGCTTAGACCGATAGAAGTGGGTGATTTCCTGTCACCTGCAATATAGGTGGATACCTGGCCACGGTTGGCT